TCGTTGTTGACGATGTTCCGTGGATGGCCCCATGACGTGTAACACGCTGAGTAGAACAAATCAGCGGATGGAACGCCCGTGAAGTGAGTAGTAACAAACGACTTGTAGAAGTGACACAAGTTGTTATCTAGAATTTGAGAAAAACTTTATTACCTCATGAAATTCAACAATTAACATAAAATGACGCGTCAAAGACGGCTATAATTGAGGAGGAAGCTCCTCTGAATATTACACACAAAAATTGCTGACAATGAAAAAACATTGGTCACCTGCAATAAAAAATTAGCGTTTTCAGCTAAGAATTACAAAAAAATAAATCTTGCTATAAATTATGAATTATTAAAAAAAAAACACTTCAAAAATTGTGCGTAATCTTATTGCGGTCACAAAAAATCTATATTTTATCCCAGGTTTACCTTCAAAAACACAAAACGCTTCACAAGCTGCCATATTCATACACTCGAAGCTGCACGATTTCAACTTATTGAATGGCAGGACGGACGGCGGCGCGAAGAAAGAAGCGATCAGGCAACCCATCTCCATTGAAGTGGCGGGGACCTGAGCAATGTGAAAAAATTCGTCGTAACTGATGAAATACTCGGATAATTTTTAATTGAGATGTAGATTTTTTAGCCATGAATGTAAGTAAAAAATTCAATCGTCTCCGATAATGACGCTTGAAACGAGCACTGACATTTTTATTATATTTTTATTTATTTGCAAGCATCTTTTAGTAAATTTGATTATAAACAAAACAAGAAACCAAATGAAGGTCAGAAAGAGATAGTCTATTAAAAAGTTCATAAAAATATTTAGGAATTTTTCATGGATTCAGGCACTTACTCGGGAGAACAGGCGTTGTTCCAGAGTCGCTCGTGAAGACTGCGCCGCCAAGTGAATGATAAACGATGGCAGGAAAACCTTCATGATTTATTTTAAATACACTTGAATGAATAAGAAAATGACGATTAATTTTTGTTGTATTCTTCGTCGTTATTCCGGCAAAGCTTCGAGAAATGTTGACAAGCAAGATGTGTGATGTTAGTCTGGTCAGAGGTCAATGACTTCTGGAGTGTTTTGTTCTCCAGAGTCACTCTTTATATAGAAGCATGGATCTATTATTGGATTAAGCCTCTAGTTTTTCAATGAGTTAAATGATCGTGATTAATGAGCAACGCGTGCTCCAAATAAAAAAACTTTGAATATATGAGTGTAACGGTGGATTTATGTTGCACTTATCTGTCATTATGGAACGTTATTTGTTAGTCCAGATCACGGTTATTAACAGAAAGAGCATACGAGATATCTCGAGTAAATTATAAGCATTCACGCTGTGTGAGTTAAGTGAACTCAATCGATGGAACACGATTTGTCTATGATTATATACATTTCTTTTTCGTGGAATAAAAATCAGAGTACAAAATATAATACGAAGTCAACAAACTGTGAAACCATGGTTCCTCGTGCGATCTGCTTATACTATTTAGACAATTTAATAAAAAATGGCCACTTTCTTTGATTTACTTCTTTTTCATCGAACGGTCTAAATAATTTTACGTTCACCGCATCTGAAGTGAGCGATGGACATTCGAGTGGTGGTAGAAAATTACATGAGGATAAAAATTTCACGATATTTTTGTGGTAAAAATAACGGATTTATTTGTGCCTCAAAAATCAAGCAGTCAACATGCGGTGATAAATTTTAAACGTAAAGATTACAATCCAATTAACCAGCATGAATATTATTCGACAACAAGATGAAATAAAATTACATTCCGCGGATATTAAATTAGAGAATGCCACTCGATATTAAAAGTAGAAGAGAGTAGAATTCGTGAATGAAGTATTAGTGAATATCATTCGAAAAAATCCATATTAATTTCTATCAATCTGAAGAATGAATGACTACTCAACTATGTTCTGAACGTTAAATAAATATAATATAATAAATATGGAAATAAATTTATTGCATATTAGACACTCTCACTGAAATTTCATAAAACAAGTAACGCGTAAAGTTCAGCAACAACTGGTATTTTTAAAAAATGTCAAGAAAATGTATATATCTTGACATTTCACATCTAAGAAAAATTTGAGAAGAAAATTTCACACATAATGAATAATGTACCTATATTAAAAACTAAGTTATTTTTGCTCAACATGTTCTTTCATTCTTTGAAAAAATCTGACATTAAAAAAAACTGCACATCGCTCGACGGCATGATGCCTGGTGTGAGGAGCATCCATTGCCCGTGAGATTATTTTGCTCGAGTCGACAATGAAATAAATATCGAACGCAGGCGATATTTTTCAAGCCTTTACGTTTATTTGAAGCCTGTTTTTACGAGGACGCGAGACTCTCGTAGACGAGTGCAGGAAACAGAATGAATGCGTCATTTGTGTTATAAAGGAGAGGGATAAGCAGCCCTGAAAATGCAGCCTTGAAGCTTACACATGCCTTATTATAACAAAAACTTTAGAACCAAGAGATCGCATAAAATTAGCAATTCAATCGTACTTTGTTTAATTAGGTGAAGATTCACATGATTATATTAAGAAGTTCTTATTATCTATCAACATCATACCGAGGGCATTTTATATCCATTAACTCACGTGATATGTGAAGAATATTATTTTTATAATAATTATTTGCAATAGAGGCTATAAGTTTGTTCTTAAAATCTATTACTTATTAAATGGTGCTATTAATTCTACGGGTCCCAACATATTCCCTCTTTCACCAATTTATGTTGATGGGTACCACAAGATCGATGTATAGTACTAAAGAATGGCAATAACTTTTTTAATAATTCTGTCTCTTTCATAGTGTTTTTGCATNGAAAATTCAGCCTTGAAGCTTACACATGCCTTATTATTCCAAGAAACTTTAGAACCAAGTAATCGCATAAAATTAGAAATACAATCGTACTTCGTTTAATTAGGTGAAGATTGCCTGCTTATTTGTTCCTGCGTGTTAATTATCTTACTGTAGAAGGGATTTCTGATTCATATAATTACATGAAGAAGGTCTTATTATCTATCAACATCATACCGAGTGCGTTTTATATTTTATATTTTATATTTTATATCCATTATATCATTAAGTTTGTTCTTAAAATCTATTACTTATTAAATGGTGCTATTAATTCTACGGACCCAAACATATTCCCTATTTCACCAATTTATGTTGATGGGTACCACAAGATCGATGTATACTGTAGTGCTCAAGAATGCCAATAACTTTGTTGATAATTCTGCAACTTTCATAGTGTTTTTGCATCATTTGGGAATGATGCAACAACTTTCTTTTAGTCGCACCTTTTGTGTGTTCAAAATTTGAAAATCTGAGAATAGGGCTGACTTAGTGTTTTCCTTCTGAGGTGGCAAATTGATTTTCTCGATGAATGACGGACAATTTGAAAGGAATGAGGAAAGTGGGGTTGTTCTAAATAAATAGCTAAGTTTAAAATTTCCGCACTCAACCTTCATGGAAATGTATTTATATTAATCAATGAGACCTTTCTAGCCTCATGCGCATTTTGAAAGATTTTCTATCGGAAAAATATTATATGTCTTTACATTTTTCCAATGTTACTTTAAATTGGTAATTTTTTAATCAGTCATGTCCATAAATTGATTAGAATAAAAATACTAATGTTTGACAATATGAAATCGTGACTACAATTTTTCTACACTAGTTTCCCTGTTCATTTCGCTGTACTGGCAAGCGATATACTGTAATACCGGGGATTCGAACCGGTGATTCGAATCATGCAATACCGGTGATTCGAACGGTCTAACTTGCAAGGTTGCTACACTGGTATAACTTGGACCTCACATAGTCCAAGAAAGTTTTTCCCGGTGTTCACGAAAGTCAAATACCTCCCCGAAAACGCAGGTCCTTGGCGATAGATCGTGGTTGAGGAGAGGGGGCCCAAGCTGTCCATGTACTCAGCGAACACTTGATTTCCAGTGAACAAAGACGAGTTCCCGAGATAACATCGAACATTCTTAAAGTGATCCGGCTTGTCAGGCGTCACTACTTTCACGAAGTCTACGGCCACTGCTTGCCCGAAATTGAGCTGAATGTATTCACTGATATTCGCGTCTACTACAAGATATTTACTTGAGCAGACGTAGCCATCGGTGACAAACTCGGGCTTGTTTGCTACAATGTTATACTCCATGGAGTAAGTGACGATAGTGTCGTTGTTGACGATGTTCCGTGGATGGCCCCATGACGTGTAACACGCTGAGTAGAACAAATCAGCGGATGGAACGCCCGTGAAGTGAGTAGTAACGAACGACTTGTAGAAGTGACACAAGTTGTTATCTAGAGATTTGAGAAAAACGTTATTACCTCATGAAATTCAACAATAACATAAAATGACGCGTCAAAGACGGCTATAATTGAGGAGGAAGCTCCTATGAATATTACACACAGAAATTGCTGACAATGAAAATACATTGGTGACCTGCAATAAAAAAAAGTAGTGTTTTCAGCTAAAATGGCAAAAAAATAAAAAAATCTTGCTAAAAATTGTGAATTATTAAAAAAAACACTTCAAAAATTGTTTGTAATCTTATTGTGGCCACAAAAAAATCTGTATTTTATCCCAAGTTTACCTTCAAAAACACAAAAAGCTTCACATGCTGCCATATTCATACACTCGAAGCTGCACGATTTCAACTTATTGAATGGCATGACGGACGGCGGTGCGAAGAAAGAAGCGATCAGGCAAGCCATCTCCATCGAAGTGGCGGGGACCTGTGCAATGTGAAAAAATTCGTCGTAACTGATGAAATACACGGATAATTTTTAATTGAGGTTTTTAATGAGATGTAGATTTTTTAGCCAAGAATGTGGGCTTATATTTACAAATTCGAAATCATTTTGAGTCGTTATGAAATCATTAACATATGTGTATACAATAGAAGGGATTAATTTTACACCCAAACTCGCTTTTCTAGAAACGACAAAAACCTAAACACGTAAAAATTCAATCATCTCCGAAAATGACGTTTGAAATTAGCACTAACCTTTTTATTATATTTTTATTTATTCGCAAACATCTTTTAA